TTAACTGCTTTAAAAAACCAAGATAAGAATCCTAATCTCAGGAATTGTCGTTCATTAATTGAATATCTGCAGAGTGGAGAGCAGGGCTGTGTTGTTTCTGCTGGTTGCACATTAGCAGTCTGTGAGTTTCATCCATCCCATGCCCGGGGTGATCATTCCCAGAACCAGCAGCCGGGCACAGGGGAGCTGCTCCAGCCCCTCTGAAGGAGCACCTGCTGTGCCCATTCAACCCTGACCCCTCTGTGGCAAAAGCAAACTGCTGGGACAACACTAGGAGTTTGGAAATACATGGGAGCCTGGATGAAAAATGGCAATTTTTATTCTGTCTTGAGTGGTCAAGTACATGCAGCTAGAAATTACATATCCTAAAATATGTCAAAATAGCAGCTTTTAGTAGGCAGCTGAGTAATGTTAAACGGCAAGAAACTGCTGTGCTGTTGTGCTACCTGGCCAGAAATTGAAATCCCTTTACTCAGTATATTATTTTCTAGGCCATCTATTGCACGAACATGTTGTTTACTGCCTACTTTTAATCGAGTTCTTGGGTCAGGAGAAATTGTTATGCAAAGTCAAGGTTTCAGGAATTGCATAGTTGGTAGAACAGCCAATAACAGTGCAGACACACAGAGGCTTTGAGGAACCAAAATCACTTAGAAACTCTTTTTTCCCCTTTCTCCTTTTCCCTTTGATGTTGTTGCTGAATGCTAGTGGAACATGATGGTACTGCTGTGGTGTGGAGTAATCAGCTGCTAGCACAAAGCAAGCGAAGCTGCGAAGTCTGAAGGGACATCTACCAATTAACTGAAAATAATGAGAAAGTTATTATTGTTACACGAATCAAAGTTAACTTGTTTCCAAGAAATTTGGAAGTCAATGCATTTGTAAGCCATGTATGGTCTAGTATGACAGCTCTGGTATAGGCAAAGTCACAATCAGTGCATCCACTGGGGCTCACAGACTCTGAGGACTGAAGGAATCACCAAGCCTTATCTATTCTACAATACTGGACAAAATAGTCTCTAGCATTAATTCCTTTAGGAGAAGAGATTGCTTTCCCAAATATGCAAGTGTTTGCTGTTAAGTCCAATAAATCTGCAATTGAACTAGAACAGAATATTTAGAGACGCATTCAAGTTCAATTTAAGGACTTCAGGATGTGATGAATTTACTTGTTAAGCTGTTGAATTGTCTAAATAAACCTTTGCCCTTGCAGTTAAGAACTGCATCTTACTGCCAATTGAAATTTTCTGATTATGTGCTAGGAGGTCCCTTTTCCTCTCTACTATTCAAGAACCTCCATGATTCTCCTAATAAAATGGCAAGGAATCTTGATTTCAAATCTGACACTGTTTGTATTAAGGATGCAATTACAAGCAGGGATTGTGTAACATTTGAAAAGGTTAATATTACTGTTTTTAATAACATGATTTTACATCTGTGGCCTCAGTGATTCGCCGATGAATCAGAACGACAGCTTTGCCTCCACAGTCGTGGACTGTTGGGTCCTGGTGTTTAAAGTCTGCACGACATACTTGTAACTGGAACAAATACTCTTTCAAGCAGGAGTGAGTTCATAAAGCTCTGTCTTTGCATCAAGTTAGAAGCATGATACTGATGGTTCTCCAGATTTTCTGAATTTCTGTTGTCTTTTCCTCTCCTCTAGTTATTTTTGACTGGCAGGATCAAGCTTTTCTCTATGAAAAGAGAGTGAAAGGAGACTAATTTCCCAGTTCAAATTCCTTGCATATGGTATGGACTGCTTGTTTTGCTCCTTTTAAGAGGTTGGACTCTGTTCCTAATACTGTATTTTAAATACTGAAAGGCATCTATGTAGCAACTCTGTCCACTGCTTGGTACCATCTGGGATGTGTGGTGAAGTTTGTCACTCAGTTATTTTACCAATTCAAAAAGAAAAAATGCATACTATTTTAGCTTAGTATTGATGCAGGGTTTATACTGGCATAGCTTTATCTGATTTCCTGTATGTGATGTGTGCTTATCATGTTGCCTAATTTTCTTGGTGGCAGTTTCAAAAGCTTTCATTGATCTAAAGCATACCTTCAGTGAAGACAGAAGGTGGAGAATAGAGAATCTAATCATCTTGTAAAGGCACTGTGTACATGATTTACCTAACAGATCTTTCCTCACAGTTTTACCTAGGTTTTGGGACAAGAATATCTGTAATCTTACCATGTAAATAATTTTGTTGAGTTTTTATGTTTTTTGCATACATTAGTACTGACATTCATGCTTAGCCATGGTCTTTTTCTCACTTCATTGTATTGTTTAGGGACAGTATCATGCAGAGTTATGTTCAGATTATTATCCTTGGAATGTCTTTCCCTCCTTTGGAGCATGTCCCCAGCAGCTACATGCATCTATCCACAAAGACTCCTTTCTGTACTTTGTGGCAAGAGTGGGAATATAGCATAAGCATACTAATTTATTTGGACAACTGGTTCCTGCCTGTTTTACCCTTTTACTTGATGTTAAATGCTTACAGTTGGGTTGCACACAACTGTCTTGAGAAGATGTACTGTTAACAGGCTTGCTCCTAAGCCTGTGACTATAATACTAATACTAATCTTTCTAATACTTTGCAAGCTGGTATTCAGTATTTCTGATTCCAGAGAGTATGCCGCCAGAATATGGGGTTTTTTTCTTCATACTAAACTTTCTCTCACAGAAGTCAGAATGAAAAGGCTCTATGAATTTAAGTATTGCTTGGAATTTATTTCTGCAGTTGGCTTGAAACTTGACCTTTATCACTTCTGGGTCAGGGTATGTGTACCTGTATTCAAGATTTTGAGAGAGCTGCCCATGAATAAATCCAAAAATAACATGGTTTGAATTAAAGAAGAACATTATTTTGTAGCAGTATCTAAAGTGAAAATGCTCAAACTAACACAGAAGTAGAATTCTCTTTTGCACATCACTGAGTGTCTGACAAAGTTGGTCACTCCTGAATTGCCTGCTTTTTCTCCTACTGTGTACGCTTCCCTCTACTTTCCCCTTCTGAAGTCAAGGAGTAACCTCAGGGTAATTACTTTTTTTTTTTCCCTGAAACATAGTCTTACACTTTTTTAGTTCAAATTTTACATAGTTGTGTGGTAGTATTTTGTCCCCTTCTCTTAAATTTTTCTTTTAGTTATCAGAGTTTGTAATTGATTTTTCTCTACAGTGAAGTACAAATGTGGTGTACTTTCCTGCAGCTTACATTCCTTTAGCTGCAAAATTAACTGAAGTCTTAACTTTGAAAGTTTGATTTTTATTTTTTTTCCTTTGGTAAACAACTATTTTTATGAGCCTTTTTAATTGAGGTTGATAGTAACTGCTGAGATTTTTTTTTTTTTAATAAAGCATTTATAGAAAGGTGAAAATATTTTCCTTCCAACTTTTCACAAATTTTGTGAGCTTGGATTGGTTTCTCTAAAATGACAACACGTGTTTTTCCTCTTTCATCATCTCTCAGTGGCACGTATGTCTGAGGCTTCTGATCTTTGGCTTAAACTACTGTTAAATTTTCATTATGAATGTGCCACCTACTGGAGCAAAAGGCCCATCAGCAAATATTTATTAGTGTTATCTTGTCCCAGACACATTTGCATAGTAATGTCTTGCTAGATTCCTGTGCTTATGGTTGTCAAATCTACACTGCTTTTTGTCAGCCTCACCATAGGGTATGAAAATGGTAATAAGAATTGGAGGGGATGTGGAGCATAAAGGTTTAATAGCATGCCTTGGAAAAAAAAAAGAATTGATATGCTGAATTATAATGAAAAATACCTGCCTGAAACTAATGTCCAGTAAGGGAATCTGAAATTCATAGGTACTCTCAAGTCTTGATTTCATGATGTAAAAAACCCCAAAAACCAACTACTTAATTGTTCAATAGAGCATTGTAGCAAAAAGAAAATTTAAACCAGATTTTAGATTATGTAGTAGTTTTTTGTAGTTGTTGTTTTAAAAAAAAAAAAAAACACCTTTGGTCTTGTCTTGGCATAGGATTAGTCATGTTCATCTTTACAAATGAGATGCATTTTGCTTTGTGCTTCTTGTCTTTTGTGTTACCATAATGAAATGAATGATTATTTGAATTGCATATCTATGTCTTAAGAGCTAGAGTTCTATTGTGCTAGACTTGTACAGAATTATGGAAAAGACTTATTCCCAAAATTTTTAAATCATCCTTTGAAACTTAAGGCATTAGGCCAGTAGTGCAAACTAGAAGAATAGAGAGATCTATGAAAAATTGCTCTCCTAAACTTAAATGATTTTCTTGATGTTTCTCATGAAAGTGAGTGCTTTTTTGGCAACACTTGATTCTATCACAGTAGAAAAATGTTTAATATATGAACAAAACAAAAGGAGGAGCTTCCTGAACATTAATCTGTTCTGCTGCATTAAATATTAATATTAAATTTATTTTTACTGTAGGACAGTCTTTAGCTTAGGCAGGGTTGTCTTTTTTTTAATTGGGCTAGCTATGATGTATCTGATATGTTAACAAGACAGCTATAAAATTTGGTGGTTTTCCTTACACAAGTTGCTGTTTATTTTCCATGCCTTGCAAGTACAGCTCAGCCATGAGGGCATTTGCTTTTGAAAATGAAGAATGAGTCAAGGAACCACCCTCAGAAAATGAGTGTGCAGTCTAACAGGCTATGAAGGAGGAGACAGGAGCTCTCTGACCTCTTCCCATCTCAAGTTGTGGTGCATGTTGCAAACACCAAGGTTTCCAGGTCCTCAACGTCAAATGCAGAGAGTCCAAACTATGCTTACTAAATCTTAAATTTCCATTATACTTCAAGAAAAAATATAATTTACTTAAATCTGGAGTTTTTAACACAGATTTGTAATGATCATAATCAGTGTCTTTGTTCACTGCCTGCTCCTTCATTTCATCTCTCTAATGCTGTTAGACTGCGTTTTGCTCTGAATGTGCTAGGATGGTGTTACATATTTATTTGGTCAATATACCATAGATAATGAAATGCAAGTACCTGTGGTAGACTGTCAAGGATGTTGGAGTGACTGCTAATAGGGCTCTGTGGCACTGGGATGGCACACAAATTGGCAGGAGATAGTAGCACAATACTGTTCTTCAGGTCTTGAACATATTTTTCTGTGTACCAGGGGGAACTTGAATTTCCTGGTCATAGATATTGCATTGCCTAAATTCCCTTTTCTTTATTTGATAATTGAATGACCAATTTAATATTTCTAGGTGAGGGAAATTTAGATTTTATGTGGAGTAGTCCTGCTTATGAAAAATATAAATTACTTTTCTTTCCTTTGGTAAGTGATGATCAGAATGTGTTGTCTGCAGTTCTGTGCAGCAGGCCAGGGTGTATGCCTGGCCTCACTCCAGGCAGTGAACTTGGAGTGTGCTGGGGCAGTGCTTCAGGAAGCATGCTGCTTGCAGGAACCCTGCTCACATTTCCATTGGCTGGACAAGTAGGAACATCAGCTGGAGTCATTAATATTGTTGTCTTTAGGGGTGCCTGTAGCTGATCTGCCTGCTTTCCCAGAATAGGACACTGAAGCCAGTAAATAAGGCAATAAAATATTTCACACCTAATAAATTTCATAAACCAAAAGCAAATAAAATCTAGGCAGTTCTAGGAAGAACGCAGTTGTTCCAAATGTTAAGAGATTAAGGTAGTATAGAAAAGACAAGGATAAGAAAATGCACTGCTGTTTTTATAGGAGGAGGTAAAGATTGTATCTCAGGAAACTTCTAAAATGCTTTAAAATACTTCAATAATGAAAAAAACAGAAAAGGGAAGTAAATCCTAAGCCATGTCTGAGAGTAAAAACATTTAAAGTACATGAACGTAACTCAACAAAATAAGTGGCTGCAAGAACATATCCCAAGGAGGTATTCAAAATAAGTAGAATAAATCAGTACAGAAAATAAACATTAAAAAAAATCAAGTCCTGCATGCATTTTTATGGGCATATGGAACTGATTCAAAGCCTGTTTCTTCATAACTGGGCTTTTAAGAATAAAGAAGTTCCTTGTTATTTACTACATTAAAAATGTTGTTCAAAGCATGATTTGGTTTTTTTTGTCAGAAATTATTTGTTTATTAGTCTTTTTTCTTAATAGGTTATATCAGCTTTCTTTAATTTTATCATTTTTATAGGTATATATGTGCTTTGATATAGTATATGGACATGTAGCATTAAAAAATAACTAAAAATAATTTGAGAGTACAAAACTAAGGTGGACAGAGAAGGAATACACCAGCCATCCTAGTGTATTATAAATTATTTCAGGAAATTACAATTGGGGTTGTGTATATTCATAAAAAATGGCATAAATTATTTGGTTCTTATATCAGTTTGTGTCCTGTTATGTCCAAGCAGAGGAAGTTTGGAATTTTGCCTTGGAATATGCAAAATTCAAGATAACAGTCTAGCAGGAGTGGAAGAGACAGGCTAGTTGAAGTCACTGAGAGAAATATGCAATACCTGGTTGTCTTTCATAAAATAATGTGGCATTTTACTTTCAGCTATTTAAAATATGACAATTTTTGTAACGTTAGCATAAACTACTAAAAAAAATCACTTTTTGAAAGAACATCTGGAAGTGTTTTGAAAGTCAAAGACCCAAACTTTTGATTCCTGTAAATAATGATGCTTTTTCTAGGGTAACCTCAAAATAAACAGGTTTGCTTACCAATTGTATGTTGTAGCCATAAATAAAACATAATTTTATTTCTCTTCCAACCAAGAAAAATTATTTGATAACTACTTCTCAGTCATTCATATGTAAGCTAAACAAGTGCACATAATATATTCTATCTGTGACATTATATTCTCCTTATCACTGTCGTAGCAAATGACAGAGAATTGCTTAGAGATATTTTGAGAATTTCTTACTTGCAGTTCTTCTCTCCTGTGTACAGGAGGGAATTGCAAGGAAGGTTTGAGGAAGTAAAAACATCAAATCAAAGTATAGGATGTATTTTAGTGTGGTAGGGGGCTTTAGGTGTAACAAATTTGAACATGTCTGTGTCTCATGCTTGTTGCATTGTGGTGGTGCTTTGGATGTTTGGTTTCCAGCCTCATTAATGGTGACCTTTATGGCCCTTGGCAAGCCATAAAATTATTTCCACTTTTGTCAGCTGAGAATGACTTGGCTATTTGTCAGCATCTTGGAGGAGTTTCAGACTCACATGCTATCAGAAAAACTCCCTCCAGATAGCACTCTTTGTGGACAAGGATGGCTTCAGCTGGGGGACTGGGTATTGCTGACCATTTTTGTCATGCCTCTTTATGATAAAGGATGACTAGGATGGTCCTTAGCTGCATTTGTGAAGCAGTGACAGCCTTCCTTGTTTAGTGTGCTAGATAAAGGCTGTTCTGCATTTATTCAAGTGCAGCAGATTGCAAAGCTTCTCTGTGAAGGCAAAATGACCTGTGCCTAGATGGTAACTCTGGTTTTCCCCTGCTGCCAAAGGAAAACCTGTATATCCACTGCTGTGAGCTGAATTTTTTGTCAGAATCATTTGGTTTGAATAGGTATTTTAATATTCTACATGGTTCCCAAACACAAACTGGTTTGTTTTTTTCTTCTGTCTTTTCCAAATATAGCAGTTAAGCACCGAATTGCTGAAAATAGAAGCTAGGTAGTGCAATTTGCATCCATGGCAGGTGCTGCTGTCTCCTTCTCAAATGTTTTCTCTGGTGTGTCATTAAGCTTAGCTCAGCAGTGGCTGTTTCAGGGTGTTCACATGATGAGCAGGCACACTGCTGTCATTGCTGGTACTTAGTCCCTTTACAGGCAGTACCACAACTCTGACTTTATTGAAGGGAAGCTGCTCCTGTTTGCAGGGCTCGTTTGTATTTTCAGCATTGAAAGGTTTGTGATAAGGTGGCCATCAGACAAAGATTTCCCATGCCAGGGGTGGCATAAGGTGTGATCTGCTTGTGAGAAAATCAGTTGATGCTCGCTTTTAGTGGCAGAAGGATTGACAAAGGGGTGGAGGGACTGCTTTGCAAAGAGCCTTACAAGTTCAACATCTGAATGTGAGCTATGCCAGGGCTTGTCATTGTCAGGTGGTGAGAGCTCTCCCACGACTCATCCATGCAGCAAGTGTTGGTGTGTTCAGAGTGCAGGCCTTCCTTCAGGCTGTGCAATAGAGGGGTCATCATTGGCTGCAGGCCAAGAGAGTTAATTCCTGCACTTCTGTTTAATGAGTTAACATCAACCCTAATGTAGATTTTAATTCTGGCTTAGATGGTTGGTCATAATTATAATACCCAGATGCTTTCATTATTTGAGCATTATTTTCCCATTCTCCTCAGCAAGCTGTGCATTACCCAGGCTTAATGGGGGTGTTAGGAACACTAAGAACAGCCTTACAGCAGTGCAGCCCCACCAGATGCAAGAAGCAAAACCAGAACACTGTCAGCTTGTAAAGCAAACCAGAAGTTGCACTGCAACCAGGGCAAATATTTGGCTAAAAATGAGCCAGTGTGTACGGCTGTGCTGTAGAGACCTATTAGCCATATCTGAAAAGAGCTCTGAAGGACAATCCTATTGATTTTGTTCTTATCTTGATGACCTTGTAGGTTGAGTTAATGGTTTCTAAACTCAATTGATGAGTTTGTGGGGCAGTTCTGTTTGTCTCCACTCAAGGAGAAAGGGAAGTAGTATAGAGTTGAAAAAGAAACTCTCGTGATTTTGTACACTCTCTTAAACTTCAATATGTATTCTAATTTGCATGGGTGTCAAATCAATGTAAATATTGTAACTGCATAATCTAGACAAGACTAAAATGTAGTTCATCTCATGACTTGGAAGTCATCTGGAATTACAATAGGCATCATCACACTTGGCTGATAGACATTTTTAAAGAAGCTGGAGTTTGACAAGGATGGGGAAAAAATGAGTCTGCTCTTACTGATGTAAAAACCAGGCTGTTTCTCACTGTGGTACTCCTGTGTGGTTTGTAAGGCAGAATACATTTTGCCTCTCTGTAGATACTTGTACCTGGAGAGGAAGCCATTCTTTTGGGGCAGTAGGGCTGCAGAATCATCTCAGGGAATGATCTTTTGTACCAGATCATTAACTGATTTAAAAATTGTCACAGCCTCTCTAAATCCAGACATAAAAGCAAGCATGCAGAATTTCATGTAGCTACTGCTAAGGTACATCCTGATTTTCAGCTCCCACGTGGCATAGTGAACTTCACCTTCATACATAATGTTGTTAAAACTTGGATGTTTTATAGATGAAGTGGCTGTTGCTCTCTTGTAAATGTTAACTATGAGAGCAGTCTCCATAAGATCAAGAGGCACTAAGGGATAATGTAATTGGAATTTTTCAAACAACTGTATCTGTATCAGAATGAAGATTCATGATAGAAAAAATAAGACAAAGTAGATCTCACAGTTTCAGCATAATTAAGATTTTTGTCAGTGTTATTATGGGAAAACTTTCTTAAATATTTTACCCTTAGCCATTTGAAAGTTTTGATGTCAGATGCGCAGGATTTTTATTCTGCAACTACTTTATTAAGCTCTGATTCCCAGACTTCCAGCTAACAAAGAGGACCAGAGCTTTAATTAGCATGTACCTGGTTTTTTCCTATTCTGTCCAAATTGAAAGATCCTCAAGTCAATCAAGATAAAGGGAAATTTTAGTTAAAGCAGTAAGCGTTTTGTTCTTACTAAAAAGTTGAGGGAAAAACTGTAAGAAATTACATAATATATAATTCTATAAAATATGTATAAAAAGTAAAATAAGGTGGGGGAATTCACTTCATTTGATATAGATTTAAATTATGTAAATAAATCTGCTCTTGGTAACTTCTACATTAGTATTTTCTTCAGCAAGGTGGTTAAAGGTGTTTAAGTATGACCTCTGCCCAGGCAAGGAGCAAAAATAAAAATAACAACAAATTTAGAGAAGGTATAAAGGGGAAATAGGGCTTGCATTTTTACAGGTTTTTTTTTTCCATTTCAGGTCAAGTAAAATTAATGATAATATGTAGA